AGGAACCCCTACAGAAAATAATAAAACAAAGCGAGAAGAAAGGACTAAGCACCAATTGTAAGAAATTTGGATGGATGGTTCTCACCAATAGAAAAAGACCCAGAAACGATATACGAATTGTAAATGCCAGCATCAGGCATGCGCAGAAATTTATATATCGGAGAATTTTTTTTTTTTTTTTTTTAACAGAGTACTGCAAATGTAACACTGAAATCTGAACGTGCATTGGAATAGCAAAAAAAAATGTATTGCAAAAACAAGAAACAGTTTTTTTTAAAGTCTAATTAGAATAATTTTAAATCTTTTAACGTGATGTGTTAATCTGTAGCGATCAAGTGATATTGTTATTAAATTGAATTTGTATTTTTCTAATCATAAATACAAAAGCGCACTACAATTCAACACCCAGTATTTTAAAAGGGAATTTGAATTCATTTTATGTGGGTATAAACGTGTCTTCTTCGTTTATGTGCAGTGTCCTTTCAAGACGTAGGCGATTATGGCTTTCCACTGTCTCCAATCCCTTGTAGTTTTCAATAAGTTTTGTCTTTTTGTTATTTCTCCCAGACCTTGTTTTGCCAACCACTTATTTAATCCGTTATATATATATATATATATATATATATATATATATATATATATATATATATATATATATATACTAGCAGCATGGCCCAGCGTTGCCCGTGTTTGATTCAAAAATCGTACGACTCATACAGCAATCGCTATCACTAGACTTAAAACAGTTTTGCCCTTCCTTGCCTTTAAAGGAGTGCCCTTTTCCGTGCTGATGTTGCTACATGCCTTACTTCTTGCCTATCTCACACTGCAATTTTTTTCTAAGCTCTATACTAAACATTAAATCTGTAACGAAAAAAGAACTAAACAAAATGAACACAAAACATTCAACTTTAAAAAAAGGACTCGTAACGGTAAAAACCGAATGAAAAAAAATGTTAACAACAAATATTTTTCACAACCAACCCAGTTTTGCGGAATCAGAATCAACGTTGAATTTAAGCAAGCGAATGAGCCAATTGGAGTAAAGTGCCATAGAGATTTAAATTTTTCCCACTTGTGACGAATGCAGCTATCGATTTTTTTTTTTTGCATGCTAGTTAACATTCGTGTCAGTCAGCTATTGTCTCTCACTGTGGCCAGTAGAAAATGGCCGCAAACTACATGAAAACTGCCGTAGAAGCATGAAAAAATCGATTATTTCCACTATCGATGGGAGTTGGGAAATGCAAAGTCGGTCTTGGCCTTCCCGCTAACTTGGAGCATGTGCATGTAAATTTTGGTACAAATCCGTCGAGAATTGCAGCCGTGCATTTGTTACACACACACGCACATCCTGCCTTATATATATATATATATATATATATATATATATATATATATATATATATATATAAGCTTTAGTTTTGGAAAATCCCAAACACATGATATGGCAGAATTTTGGCCCCTGTGTAACGTCCAGAACTACCAGTACCTTGAGCCGATCCCTGCTAATAAGATAAATTCAATTGCCTTAACCCTAGAACATTACCATCAATTAAAGTTAGACTACTACTAACCATGGGTATATCATACCCGATTTTGAAAATATCAAAAAAAATATCAAATATAAATCTTTATTTAAAATATTTGACATGCAGGCATTTCAAACTTTGTAGTTTAAATTAACATTAATTGGAACTGAAAAAAACATTATCTAGGTGAGAAAATTGTAATTAAAAATAGGAAAATTTTCGCTGGGTACTATATACCCATGGTTATGGTTCTAGGGTTAATAAAATTGCCATCATCATTGTTTTAAATTTTTAAATTTTACTGATTTTCAACTTGAAAGTATTTCCCAGATACAAAATATTAACCAGATACTTACTTAAGATATTCTCAAATAAAAGTAATCACATTTATTTTTACTTTGCAGTCTTCTTTTTTACGCTGTGTCCCCTCAGAACGTAGGCTACCATGGCTCTCCACTACTTCCTGTCTCTTGTAGCTCTCAATAAGTTTTGTCATTTTGTTATTTCTTACAGAACCAATTCTTCCATCTACTTGCTTAAGCCTGCTAAGTATGTCACGCATTGCTTTCCCTTGTCATTCTTTCCTTCTATCCGCCATGTGAGTATCAGATTTTCCAAGCCCTCCTTTCTCATTACGCTTCCCAGAAATTTCAGCTGCCTCTTCCTGATGTTAAGTATAAGTTCCCTCTTTCTATACATCCTCCCCAAAACCTAATCTTTGCTCACATGTTCGGTCCATGATATCCATAGCAGCCTTTTGTAAAACCATAAATCTGTTGCCTCGAGCTTCTTCTTCATTCTTGAGGAGAGCGTAAAGGAGGGCAGATATCACGTAGCAGTTCAGTACTATTTTCTCTGTTGCCAAAAAAAAAAAAGCCTCCCGTCTCGCTAAACTCTGCCGAGCTTTTGGAATGCGTCTTTGGCAATCACAATACGTCTTCGAATCTCAGTCCTCTGTCAGAACAATTCCCAGATATTTAAAACTCCGCCCCTGCTTGATTTTAGTGTCACCGACCTGAAAATCTCATTTCGGGCTCATCTGTTTGCTGGTGACCATGCATTCTGTCTTCTTGTAGTTTATGCTTAGTCCTTTCTTCTCGCTCTCCTTCGCTAAATTCTGTAGGAGGTTTCGTAGTTTCCTTTCTGTGTCTGCTATCAGCACTGTGTCATCTGCGTATCTAATGTTATTATGACGAATCAAGCCGAGCTTCTCGGCTTGACGGTCGAACTCTCTGCCTTTGAGCAGAAAGGAACCCGGAAGAGGTTCCGCCGAAGGGCAGAATCTCGTTCGGGGAGAATGACTAACCCGATCTCGTTTATACGGGTTATACGGGCATTTTTTGGTCGAGCCTACGGGCTCGGGAAACCCACGTAAAAACTCGGCCTTGTGCCACATGCAACCCTCGTGGGTAGGTGGCTAGATACCGTATCTAATGTTATTAAGATTGCAGTCACCAATGATGAATCCTGGTAGGATTTCCAGTTCTTTCAGAACTGCCTCGCTTTCGATTTTTCTATATCTGTTGAACTCATTTTTATCATGATGCACTCGGTTTTCTGCTAGTGTAGGTTTTGAATATTCTAATGTCTTTCCGGTAACCCCCTGTAATCCACAGATAAAGAAGAAATTTGAGGTAACTGAGCTGAGAATGGCATGAACTAACTGCGTAAGCAGCGAGAGAGTTTGTTGAAAAATAGAAAGAAAAATGGCACTTATACATGGAATCAGAATATAACCGAAATTTATGAAACATATAATGAGGAAAGAGAGCTTAGAAAAAATGATACTCACAAGAAAGAGAAAAGGCAAAAGGGTCAGGAGGGGAGAGTGTGCCACCTCCTAAAAGAAGTTATGTGCAATGGAGGCGAATCGGGGATTGGCAGAGATAAACATTACCTAAAATCTACAAAAGATAGGAAGTTGTGGAGAGCCATGATCGCCCACATTGTCTCGGAATGAGCAATCGGAGAGTTGATTTCGTTGTTACATTCACCTATTCGCAAACACCCTGAAGTTAGGTATGAACACATTTCTTCGTTCCCCACCTATGGGTTAAATAGAACTGGAAAGATCTGGAAAAAATCATTTTTAATCTCAAAAGTTTTCACTGTAATATTCACTCGCAAAAAAATTAAACATATAATTCGAAATATATTCCATCTTAGATAACCTACCCAAAAATTCAAACAAAACATCCATGAGGTGATTGTCCATTATTTATGAGCATATAAAAGATTTTATCTTATATAGTTTTACAGAATTATTTTCGCTGTGATTTTAGCTGTTATCTAGAAGGAAAAAAATCTACACGGTATAAATGTTATTTTGGAATGATATCTACATAGTAAAACATATTATAACATATATATATATATATATATATATATATATATATATATATATATATATATAAAGAAAATGTAATTAAAATATTAAATGATTTATTATTAATGACATTCCCCGGAAACCAAGATAAGTGTTTCCCTTATTATTGATATAGATTCATGACACATAGATCGCAATATAAAATGTAGATCACATACCAAAGTAGATTCATGACACGTAGATAACAAGCCAAAGTAGAAACTTATTTTCTTTTTTCAGTAAACATTTTCTATCATTTCCTATCGTTGCTTAGTTTCTGAAAGACATCTTTCGCACTTTTATGCGTCTTCGTTTTTCTGTGTCTCATTTTCATTCGTCTGTTCATATACAACGCAGATTTTTTTTTTTACTATATTATCAATATTTTCCCTTTCTTACCTATTCCATGGCGTATAAAAAGCATTCCCTGACATTGAGGCGAGCCGCTCTACCAATCTGTCACTCCCACACCAACCTGCCACAACTGACCGTTCTCCAGAGAGATCAGAAACCTAAGATAAGTCAGATTCGCACATGTCAGTTTATTGAGCCGCTCCTGAGATGTAAACAAGCTCGTCGTATCGACTTTATACCAACGGTATGAATGTCGTAAGCTTATGTTGCCTAGCAGCGCTCAAAGCAGAAAATGTTTGGCATCAAAATACAAGTATCAGGGATTTGGGATTCTTCACGTAGTCTGCAGACAGTTAAAAAACAAAAAATACTTGTTTACTAATTGCCAAGAGGTAGCTGTCTGAATATACAGGGACCACAGTAAGGCTGGTAAAGAAAAAAATAAAATTGGTAGAAGAAAAGTAAAGATGAATATTTTTTCTTATTAAAATTAGGGAAGATATAGAATTTTTAAGTTATAAAGAAAGAAAGAAAAAGAGTGAGCAATGGAAGAAAGAGAAAGGGGAAGGAATGTAAAGGAAAGTAAAAAATAAAGAAAAAATAGAAACAAAAAGAAAGAAACAAACAAACAAAAAAGAAAAAAAGAAAAATTAATGAACGAAAGAGAAAGAAGAATATTAGAGAAAGAAAAGAAAGAAAGAATGAAACATGAAATGGAAAAAGGCAAAAGAACCAAAAAGAAAAACTTTTCAATGGAAAACGAAAGAAAGAAAGAAAGAAAGAAAGAAAGAAAGAAAGAAAAAGAAAAGGACATAAAATACAGAATGAACTGACTGAAAGAAAGAAAGAAAAAAAGAAAGAGACATAAAAATATAGAATGAATCGACAGAAAAAAAGAAAACGACATAAAAACAGACGGAAATAGCAGGAAAAATATAGCAAAACCATAGACTGAAGTATCAAAAAGAAAAATAATAAAACCGATATCAAATATAGAATAGACAAGCAGAAGGAAAGGATGATGTACAAAAGTATAAAAGGAAGTAGCAAAAAGAAAGGCAGAATGAAATGGACAAAGAAAGATACATAAAAGTATAGAATGATCTAACAGAAAGAAAGAAAGAAAGAAAGAAAGAAAGAAAGAAAGAAAGAAAGAAAGAAGGCCGGCGATTGAGGATATAAAAACAGAAAGAAAGAAAGATATAAAAAAAAGAAAGAAAGAAAAGAAAAAAAGAAAGAAAAGAAAGAAGGCCGGCGATTGAGGATATGAGGAAAAAAAAAAAGAAAGAAAGGTCAGCGAAAGATATAAAACAAAAGAAAGAAAAAAGAAAGAAAGAAAGAAAGGAAGAAAAGCGATTGAGGATATAAAAATATAAAAAAAAAAAGAAAAGAAAGAAAGAAAGAAAGAAAAGAAAAGAAAGAAAGAAAAAGATAGAAAGAAGGCCGGCGATTGAGGATATAAAAAAAAGAAAGAAAAGAAAGAAAGAAAGAAAGAAAAAGAAAAAGAAGGAAAAAACAAAAGAAAAAAGAAAGAAAAAAAGAAAAGAAAGACAAACAACGGAAAAAAAGAAAAAGACAAAAAACGGAAAGAAAGAAAGACAAAAAAAAAAAAGAACAGAAAGACAAAAAGAAAAGAAAAAAAAAGAAAAAAGAGAGACATAAAGATATAGAATGAACAAGCAGAAAGAAAGTGACATACAAATCCGGAATAAGCAAGAAGGAAAGACAGAAAGAAAGACAATCAAACGAGCGACCAAAATCGACAGACAAATAAAACCCAACGAAAAAACGAAATCAACAACGAGGTAGAGACGCCAAGAAATTCTGAAAATACAATTAAAGAAAAAGAAAAAACTTAATTTTTTTAAGTGAACAGTATTAAATTTGGAAGAAAAATTAAAATAGAATGAGTTAAATCATAAAATAAAATGATAAATGCATCCAACAAAGAAGCTTAAAGCAAACGAAAAAAGACAGAAAGAGTCGAACAGACGAACAAAACAAACAAATGTAAAAAGCCAAAAGTAGCATAATTTACCGACTTGCCAAAACAGCTGGAATTTTTCTGTTAAAGAAACGCCATGTCTGTTCGCTAAAACCTTATCGAACCAACTTCACTTCAATGCACTCAGTGTTGTCAACAACAATAAATATTCTACAAAAGAGCAAAGGAAAAAAAACGAACTAGTCTCTACTTGTTTTAGCACCGTAAGATGAAACTTGGAAATTTATAATTGTCTCAGTTTTTAAGCATTTTTCTGGACTTTGTCATTTCACTTACCTCGACGTATTTAATACTCTCTAACAATTCAAACTTTTAATTGAATAACAACAAACTGCAGATTTTCCAGATTATTATATAGATAAACTCTCTCTCTTACTTCAAACCCATTTTCAAAACTAACGTCACCTCATTCGCGAGGACCCAGCCTCACAGATTTGGGAATCATTCATGCGGGTCTATCGTAGAATCAAAGCTTTGAATTGGACTGCACATCAAACCTTAGAAACGCGGACCACGTTGATTTATGTTGAAGTTAATCTCATTTCTCTTCGTTCAAGTGATTAACCATGCTCGACTGCACCATTATCCGAGTCTATTTTGGCCATACTTACCGATTATGTAGCAAACCTATCTTCGATCTGCTTTCTTTGTCTTTATCATTTACTCTTTCACGTTCGTTTCCTTTTTTTTCTTTTCTTTTTTTTTTTTCATTTTGGTAATGGCTTTACTTAGCAGTTTTCTCATCATTCTTTTACTTTGGTTCTTTCTATCCATTATTCTTTCTTGTTAACATTCATTCTTTTTCTTTTATCTTCTTCACATTCTTTATTTATTTACATTTGTCTTTCTTTCGTTATTTTTCGTTTTTATTTGTCATTTTCTTCTCTGCATCTTTTAAATATATATTTTCTTCTTCCTTTAAGTATGTTATATTTCTTTGTTCCTTTCTTTCTTTAATACTTTCTAGTTTTTTTTTCTTTTTTGCTTCTTTCTTTCTTTCTTTCTATTTCCTTTCATTTTTTCTTTGTTCCTTTCTTTCTTTAATACTTTCCTTCTTTCCTTCCTTCCTTACTTCCTTCCTTCTTTTTTTCTTTCTTTCTTTCTTTCTTTTTTTCTTTCTATTTCCTTTCATTTTTTTCTTTGTTCCTTTCTTTCTTTAATACTTTCCTTCTTTCCTTCCTTCCTTACTTCCTTCCTTCTTTCTTTCTTTCTTTCTTTCTTTCTTTCCAGCTTCTTCTTTTACTAAGGTCCTTTCTTTCTTTCTTTCTTTCTTTCTTTCTTTCTTTCTTTCTTTCTTTCTTACCAGCTTCTTCTTTTTCTATGATCCTTTCTTTCTTTCTTTCTTTCTTTAGAACTTTCCAGTTTCCTTCCTTTTTCTTTCTTTCTTTCTTCATTTAGATTCCCAACTTCCTTCTTCGATTCAGTCTGTTCTTTCCTTTTCTTTTTCTTCTTTACTTTTTTTCTTGTTGCCTTTCCCCTTTTTTTCTGTTTTCATCTTTACAAACTTTCTTTTCGTCCGTCACCTCTTTCTCTTCTTTCTCTTCCCTTCCTTGTTCCCTCCTACTCTCTCCTACTCACACACACACACACACACACATATGTGTGTGTGTGTGTTTGTGTGTGTGTGTGTGTATTTGTGTGTGTAATTGTGCAAAATATTCCTGTGTTTATTTGACCATTTTTAAAATCTGTTCTTTCATTAAACCTCATTCATTCCTGCAAGTTTTTTTTCATTCACGATATTGCTTTTCTTCCTCGTATATCCGTTTTCTTCATCTTTCTTCTCTCATTTCATTTCTTCTTTGAGCTTTAATTTCCAGGCACAATATCCCTCACCTACACATATATATATATATATATATATATATATATATATATATATATATATATATATATATATATATATCAAACTATTCGCATTCATTTAGGTAACTGCATAATGCATATTCATTTAGGCGTATCTAATAATCTTGAGTTCCGACAAATTAGTCATAAATGTCAATGGGTGGAATATTTGCTAAAACACAGACACACACATATTTATATGTTTGCACAGATAATTTCTTCATATATTTGCTCTCTTGTACTGTTTACTGTCCTACGCATAAGGTGTACTTATAGTTTCTTTTAATCGCATACACTTGTCCATCATTTGTATGCGTGTACTTGCATGCCTGCGTATTCGTCTGTGTGCGCACATGGGTAAATCCACTCGTACAGTTTATGCCTATTTATCATCTACAATAGAAATTAAACTCAAAGAACTCACTCGATTCAAAAATTATTTGTCACTAATATCCCGTCCGTTTAAAAGAATCCTATTTCAGCAGATTACAACAATCTATTCTAGAAGGAAAGCAAATTATGTTCCCGCTGCGTTAAAAAAAAATGTGGCACTGATTTTCACAGCGTTTGGAGCGAACCTGACGATCTCGGACCAGAGACTGGAAAATCTATCAGTTAGGAAACAGCTTGGAACCAACCGGGCGACAACATTATTAAAAAGAGTTATGATATTGAAAGTAGTGTTGGTGTATCGAGGACTCTCCTGTGGGTGTGTCTCTAGTGCAAGTCACTGAAGAGTTACAAGTGTTTGAAATACGCAATATGTGAATAATAAACTGGTATGAAGTTCATCCTGAATCTCTAGCTGAGGGAGAAGAGGTTACCATCCTCTGAGAGTTTTTTTATCAACACAGATCGAACAATACAAGCAAATCAACGAGAGATTATTATCAAAGACGGAAAAGAAAAAAAGTTTGCAGACTGAGTGACATGAAAGTGCCAAGTCACAAAACCATCCCTGCGAAGTTTTTGGTAAAAATTAAGCAAATACACTGGGCTTCACGATCGTAATAGAAAATGTAGCTCATAAATTTGAAACTGTTCCTGTTTTGATTGGAGCTTTGGGTCTGATAAAAAAAGGAACTCAACAACAAATCAACAAAATCCTTAGTGCACCATCTCTCCAAAACATCCCGAAAAGGGTTCTAACAAGCACAGCCTATATTCTTACGAAGATCTTTGTCCATTTAATTATTTTAATGTTTGCCTTTTGCTTAATTAAGCGCAATGTTACCACTAGCAGACCGCTAGAGGCCCACCGGTGGCTGCCTCCAGAGGACCGCTCGCGTTGCCATCGGCGGTCCGCCAGCGGGTCACTAGCGGCTTACGTGCAGGGTTGCTTCCCCTAAGTTACTGATTGTGGCCCGGCATGTGATAAAACAATGCACGCCTAAAAGATTTTTAATAGCAATGATAATAATAATAATAATAATAATATCAGGTAGTTAATCTTCCGACAGATCACATATTTGATTTGAAGTGAAAAGGTAAGTGAACTAAGAAAGATGGGTGACAAGAAGATGGCAGTAGTGCCAGTTGTTTCCGTAGTACAGGGAATTATTTCGATAAAACAGCGAAAACAATCTGAAGGAAATGAAACTTAAAAAAAAAATGGTTGAATTATCTAGACAATGTCACTATTGGAAAAAGGTGGAATATTCAGAAGTAGAGGGAACATGCTTTGAATAAGTTCCAGTGTAGTCCATTACTAACCACCAGTGTAAAAAACTCAATGAGTAAGTAACTAATAATAATAATATGATAAAATAACTACAGACAAGAACATTAACAGAACCCCTGCCAGTTTATATATATATATATATATATATATATATACGAGATTAGTATTATTACATTGTATGGAACTGCTCATCTTCTCAGACGAATATTATCAATATAAATAAAATAAAATTATAGTATATGTTAAGCATCACTTAATATCAGAATATGTATAATGAAAAATATATATTTACTATCTTAACTTACCCAAGGTATCTAGTAATTAGCCGGTGAGGGATTGTAAAAAATAGGAAGCAAAAAGAAATAATAATAATAATTATTATTATTATCATTATTATTATTATTATTATTATTATTATTATTATTTTCTTCGATCTCTGGCGTTTACACATTACTTTCCGGGTCCCGCCCTAAGGTTAGAAATGGCATCATGACACTTTCCACTGACAAAAAAAAAAAAATTACATAGATAAAGCCCTTCGTAAAGTGTGGGCTGTACTTGTCAGAACATTTTTTTGTATCTCCTTGAGGCATGGACTTCCAGGAATCCCTTCACTTAGTCTACTGCAATCTTTTTCAACTAGTCCTAGGGCTCCAACTACAACAGGGATTGTTGATGTTCCCATGTGCCACATTTTCGAGATTTCTATTTCAAGCGCCTTGTATTTTGACAGCTTTTTGAATATCTTCAAAGATACATTGCAGTCAGCAGAGACTGCCATATCCATAAGGAGGCACTTTTTTTGTTTGTGGTCTTTAATAACAATATCTGGGTGGTTGGCTTTGATTGTTCTGTCAGTGTGTATTGTGTAGTCCCATAGAATTGTAACAGGTCCTATCTCCGTAACCGGGTCTGGGTGGTGTTCATACCAGTTATTATTATTATTATTTGTATTTTCTTTGATTTCTGGCGTTTACACATTTCTTTCCGGGTCCCGCCCAGGGACCTAAGGTTAGAAATGGCGTCATGACACATTCCACTGACAAAAAAAAAAAAAAATGATTATTATTATTATTATTATTATTATTATTATTATTATTATTATTTCACCTCAAAGCAAGGCAATAAAACCACTAAGACACAAGGAGTTATTGAATGTGAGAGAATATTCGAAAAAAAATTTTAAGAGAGGGCAATAAAAAAAAACAGTAATTAAGAAGAGAGAATATAATGATTGATATTGCATTTCAATGTATGAAGCTTAATATTGGCCGGAACACAAGAAGCCAGAAGAGAGTTTCACAAGGGAGTCTTGCGTGAGAAGAAACTCTTAACATAGTACTTTTACATTTGTAAAACTCTAAAATGATGAGACCTCGAAGTCAATCTCGTACCACACTTCACATGCAAGAAGTGCGATTAATAATAATAATAATAATAATAATAATAATTACAGCAAATACCCTGTTTCTACACCAGGCATGACACTCATGACTCCTAATCTTTATTGATTGGAGGTGTACAGGTACATGTTTTGTTTTGGTGAAGTAACATGGCTACAATATATTAACACGTTCAGCGCTGCAGATTTGCTTGCTAGCTGCATGACATTAACCAGTTCATGTCCCCTAGAATCTGATGCAGGGTTCATGTGCGGGAAGAACGGGAAGAGAAGCATCATGAGCAGGTCGAGAGAGTTGCTTTTTTAAAGTAATAAAGCAGGTAAAGCTACCTGCGAGTCACATCTACTTACATAGAAACACGCTCAATAACAGACGGTTTGAGCAGACTGGGTCACCTGACCTGAATGTATTTCTATGTGGGACTCAACAGTAAGGTTGTCTGCTGCTTTATCAAAATCTGTTACAGTATCGCGCACATTTACTTGGTATATACTCAACAGACTCTGTGTCATGATAGGCA